GGGGGGTTTCGGTAATGGGCCACAATAATCAACCTCATTGTATATCGACAAAATAAAATTTCAAAAATTTTTAAAAATTAAAAAAAAAAAAGAATATACTATGTTCAATCTACGTATTTTTTTTTTCCTTTTTGTCTTTTTTACTGACCGGCAACAGGATCGCACCCCTCGTGTTGCGTCCGCACCGCGCTCAGCCAGTGAGCGGGAACCGGTCTCCACATGGGATCCGAACCCTCGGCGGGAGGGGTGATAATATAGTAATTTAGAAAAGTTTCTTAATCTTTATTTTTTTTTTTAGAAGTAAAACATGTACTTGCTACTTTTCCATTTCTTTTGTTCAGCACTGAAAAGCTTTTTGTTTGTGCTTCTTAACTCACATGCAGGAATATTGGGAGGAGGAAGCAATTTTAAGTATAACCTGTTTGAAGAGAGGAAGATAATTGATTCTTTAAAAAAAAAACTCACTATATTTTAATATCTGTAATTTGTTGACTTTCTTTTTTTGGTTAAAAAGCCTATTACTCACATGACAACAGTATTTCTCAATATTTATGTACTTATATAAGATAAAAAAATATAGCTTGCACTGTGTTGAATATTGTTGACTTTATGAGAAAGTCTGAAGGTTAGCATTGACTTCTTAAATATTAGAGCTAAAAGTAGCCTTTTGCAGGGGTAATTGCCTCGACAAATTCAGTTAGCATTTATGAACATTTATACCCCCAAATCTGAAGTATTTTGAAACTATGAAGTAGTATATAACTTAAAGGTGAGATTTTTTAAAAAAACATTGAAACATTACATTATTGGGTGATGTGTGATGCGGTGTGAGGTGCTCATGGGTTTGTAGAACAGCAGCTCACTAAAAGTGACAAGTCAGCTAGTAAGCCCGCTGTTTTGTCCCCAACACCCTATATTGGTTTTTTTTTTTTTTTTTTAATTAATTAAAAGCAAAACAATACTAAGTAGTGATTTTTGTCTTTTTTTTGGTGGCTGGCTGGTATGCGGATCTGAACTCTTAACCTTGGTGTTATTAACACCATGCTCTATCCAATTGAGCTAACCAGCCAGCCCCCTAAAGAGTGATTTTGGCCTCATAAACCTTAGCCTTCTTTCTAATCTTGAAATTGACAGTTATCCCTATGCATAATGTGCTCTATGTTATGGGGAATACAAAGAAAGAGGTAGAGCACTTTTTTCCAAGAAGTTTAAAGTCTACTCAGGAAGTATTAAATACCTAACGAAGGTAGCCTTTAGGATTCTACAGCTTCATTTAGTGACTTTTTCAGTGATTTAAAACATAATACCAAGCTCACTGATACACTGTTTTTAAACCCAGCAGTCACATTTAACTTACCTTTGTGATGAGAGGGATAGGAAAGATCTGAGTGGTGATGCGTGCCCTCTCCTTCTTTAGGTCTCCTCCTCAGCAAATTCCCCCCTCCCTGCTGCACTAGACTGTAAGCTGTGTGAGAGCAGGGACAGTATCTATTTTTGCCCACCATTACGTCTCCTGTGCCTTGCACCGTGTGTACCTCCACATAGATCTGCAACAGATATTTAAGTCATTATATTTACATTTATCCCAGGCCTTTATGTCCTTTGTGTGCCTTAGCATGCTCTTCTTCATGCTTCACTGTATTCAGGGTTCTTGTTCCTAAGCGAATCCCTTCCTTATTCTGGTAAACAAGAGCTTTATTTCGCTTCATAAGGGTATTTCTTGTGGTTAATATTTGGATATAGAAGACTTATCTTTTTAATAGAATCATATATATTGTGTGTAAATTTTAAACCCTCTCAAATTCTCTGTAGTGTTCATCATTCTTGACAACTCCCTGCTTTGAAACGTTTCTACTTTGTTTTCAGCAACATTGTATTGTCTCTGAGCTCCCCTTACCACCACTGGTCATGTAAAAAATTTTAACAGAGATAATTTGATATGAAGAATTATTAACTAGGTATAAATTTCATAATGTAAGACCCATGCACCAAGCACAAATCCTACACACCGGAGTGACTCGCCTCACAGAGACCACGAGACAAGAGATCGCTGCAATTTAAGCAAGAGCAGTTTTACTTCAGCATGCTGGGTCGCTTTGTCTTTCGGAAAAGCGGCCCCTAGCTCCTTGACATAAGAGTTTTTATACACTTTCTTTGGACAAAGACTTTTTTTTCATGGTCAGGCTTAACAGGCTAGCCCCCCCCCCCCATAAGGGACTGTTTAATTTTTTTAATCACTTGGGCTCTGCCAGGTGTCCTGAAGATAAGAG